CCCTGCGCCTGTACAACGTCGCAAACTCAAACCTATCCTACATGTCTTGTTCCTTTCGCCCGTGACATTCCCTTTCTTACCCCGGATAAGGCATAAACTAGACCAAAATGAATCAAAAGAAAATTTTTCTTCTGGAAGTTCGTCGCTTGTCCTTTCTTTCGACAAGCTGACCCCGTTAGACCATTAAGTAGCCCCGTTAAATTTTTCCTCCCACGCTTCCTTGCGTGCTTTAAAATCCATTGCAGCCTTATCGGATGACCTGTGCCCCCTTAAGCAGTGCCCATGAACCCTTGCGCATTGTCGACGTCCTCGTTCCCTGACCCCTCGCCAGCTCGCTCTAGTCCGCAGGCCCATCTTAGGCATCACATCTCAGCGAAGAAAAGCCATGCCTTCGGGAATTCTGCAGCGTCCCAGCGCCGTCCATAGCATCCGCAGGCCCTATTCCTTGACCCTCATCCGTGACGTGAAGTGCCCCTGTCAGTTCGCCGTATCAAGCCAATGTTGTTCGCCTATAAAAGGTACGGGCCAAGTAAGGTAACGAAGAACACCAGTCGTCAGTATTCATGAATTTTCCTTAGTTCGTGCTGAGGTTTAGACGAATACTGCTAGGAGTTGGGCTATAAAAAGGCTAGCGAACTGATTACGTTTGCACATGGCGGCCCGCGTACGTCACCGAGTTTATCGACCACTACGAGTTTTTCGTGGTAGCTACATTCTGTCGTAAATGGAAAATGCTACCGTATCCCATGACTTTCGTATTTAGAATGTATTACAAGGTGTACAGCACACGTAGACATTTATTGCATATCGTTTATAGTCTAAAACAGAACCCATTCATCTACACAATCAAGATATTTAATTAACTTGAAAGCATATCTATGGTAAATCCTGCTTTTAGCACCCACCGCTATAGATAGCCAGCTCCGTAGAGAACTTCGGTGATCAAATGTGATTGTGACAGCTATGGAGGATGCAGTCTATAACCTCTCCCCTTAAAAGCGGACTGCATTGCACTCGCCAACTACGTCCACTGAATTCTGAGGAAGTGTCTGTAATGCATCTCGAAAGGCCCACCATCATCGCTCGCTATGTGCTCTTCCTTGTGTGTGTCGTTAATCTAGCGGAGGAAGGCATTAGGTCAAGATCTCTGCGAAACTAACTTCTCCAGTTTGTTTTCAATCGTGATCTGGACAGTTGAATAGTGAAGGGAATATGGCCCACCAAGGCCGTTGAGTGGTCCTCCGAGTTCCGAATGAAGGGCGAAGTTCAAGTTTTTCCAAACCTGAGATTATATAGATAAAACCCAAGCTATTACCCCTCATTCGGGACTCCTACTCGAAGGATCACTCAACAGCTTTCGATTGGCTACATTTCCTTCAGTAAACCAGCTAGTAATAATTATTCAACAACAAAATGGGGAGAGATAGCGCCTAGTAACATGAAGCACCCGGGGCATCCCGAGTTGAATCAGCCCGAGACATGAGGAAACAAGGGTACGTCGTGCGAAAGCCTTCGATGATATAGAACTGCTTACTTCTTCATATCCCTTTCTAGAATCGTGGGATATACGCCTGTTCACTTCTCCAAATAATTGCTTTTTCCACTTTCAGCAATCGTGCCGTTTGGTAACACCTGGTCTCTCAAGAAGATAAAAACACCACATAGGAGAACGTTTGCTCCACCACAGAGTACAACATCTAGACTAACGGGGATTCCAACCCGAAAAAAAGCTACTCTTGAAGAATTAGACGCATTCTCGTCGCTGGAGACAACCACCCTGCTTACTTTGGTCTTCTTATGAAATAAGTCCTTGCCCCCCGAAGGCCGATGAAGTGCGCACATCTAAATCGGATCAAGCCGTGGTTTTTGTGATAGAGTGTAAGTGGAAATGCCCCCGCTTTCCAAACTAAGGATTTCAGTGAGTCTGACGGCACGAACCCAGTTAATTTTTTCATCTCATTTTTGAAAAGAGCAGTTCGAGTAGGCTACGACGGCCGCAGAAAACAACAGTCTCAGAGACAATCGATTGTGAGCTTTCTTCAACCGCATTACAATCAAGACACCTTGTTTCTCCGAGCCTTCGCTTGATGCAAATTCACCGGTCCAAAGGCATGTAGGATCCGAATTGCGATTTTTTGTTCTAAACATTGGACAAAAAGTGCAATCAGGAAGGTGACATGGGGCCATAAGAAAGCACTGGACATTTTCCGCTTGAGTAGGCTTTCATACGGCAGACATAGCTGTGAGGAGGGGACCACGCGAGAGAGCACGTTGTACGCCCCCACAGGCGCAAACGTCCGTAGTGGTGCCGGCGATGCCAATCAGGCCAAGAATGCAGCACAAAAAGTAAGACCTTTAGGGCTGTTGCCTCACACTTTTGAGTTGCAACAGCGTCGCGGCTCCTGCGCTCAGGGACGCCTTTTTCCCATTCTAGGGCGGACTATTTCTTAGCACCTTTTCCGTGCTCGTGGCTCTAAACCTGAATAGGGTTTCTGACGTAGCGCAGCCCATATGTACAGCGCTTTTTTCCTCGTGCGTACGAGCTACTCCAATCCATTCATATGCACTATTGGTGAACGTTGCTCCTCTGATCTCGATGCCTCCAAACCCCGGCCAGCACTCGGAAGGACTAGAGGAGTGAAAATCTTTTATTTAATTGCGTCAAGTATTAGACACTGCCCAGAGCCCAGCAAAAACATCAATCAGCTGTTTCCCTAGCAACAAGACTAGAATTCAAAGCCATGATAGCATTAAGCTCCGTGTTTCTCTCCATCGTTCGAACACCTTCCGGGTCAAAATTACTCGTCGATTCTATGGAGCCCCGTTTTCGGCGCAACTATACACGTTGAGACACTAACCTGAGTATCGGCCTGCTTTCGCATGCCATAAATATAGCATTTTCGCATTCAATTATGAACCTTTATGACTATTAACGGGGACTGCGTACATGGCACTGACTTATTGGACAATTAGTACACACTTGCTTATATTTAGCCTAAGGGGATTGTTTGTACAACTCAATTTGATAACCTATCGCTTATCAGATCCTATTGAATTTTATCAATAGCATTCCATCCTTATTTCCTCCGCCTTTTTAATATTCCCTTCATAATTAATAACCCTATTTTTCTTTGTCTATTCATTTTCGAAATTCTAACAACATACCGATGGCTTTGAGCCTGTGAAGATGTTGCTACGATCGCATTCCTCTCGAAATCACACGTCATTCTGTCCCAATCCTATTTAGGAATGTGTACATGGCCTGTAGTTTTGTGATTTTCCATTCAAATCTGAATTGCGTGGGAAAAAATATGTGTTGACAATTCCATAGGGGTTCCCGGTGAAAAATAGCTCTCATTCTTGGTACAAAGTTGTGGGAAACAACAAGTTATGTTATTATTAGCAACTTCCGTCATCTACTCAGAAACATAAAAAATCTGTGCAAGCCCGCCTTCCCTGCGGCGTTCCTATTATGGTTACCCTGTTGCGTATTTGCTTGGGGATGTTTAGAGATCTTGTAGAGGGAATCTGTCGGGGCCCATATATCGCTAATGATATAGGAGATTCAGATGCATATAACTCACTATTTCTTTGTATTTGTTCCCTTCGGCTCTGATTTAGGCCCTCGCATGAGCATCGCATCGTATCATGAATGCTAAGGATGGAGTGCTTCAATCCCATCAGCTTCAATGAACATTGGATTTATCACCTGTTCTCGCGTAAAAGGTTGGAAGTTGCGTAGTGGCAGATGGCGCTGCTCACCACACGTACGGTCTGTGATCGAACCCGTGCGCCGTCTCAGCCAAACCTTCAATCCCTTCGATCCGGTTGTACGGTAAATGTCGTGCCTTTCAGAACGGAGAGGTTAAAAAATAATAGGTCCACGAAACAAGGTAGCAAGTTAGAAATGGCGCTGCTATCCAGAGTGGAAGTAAAATGCGTGGTTAGTCCCAAACAGGGATTGATCAAGGTCAATTTTGTACATATCATATTACTCTTTATGGTTTTTGTCTTAGCCTTGTACTTGTTCTGTTCGGGCTCTCAAACGGGGCGATTGTAGATGATGAAGACGGGATGCTCAAACTCCATCGATCCATAAATCCATTGG